CAGCTTATTGAGCAAGGGACATTTATGAAAGAAATGAGGAATAAAGGAGAACAGCCTGTAGAATACCTTACAGAATACCTTTTCTACAAAAAGGTAAATAAACTCATGTAGAATACGATAGTACCTCATAAAATATTCTATATTCCCTATACACCTTGTACACCCAAGATCTGAGAGTTCCCCAGTTGAATGTGGTTTATTTGGCAACGGATTCATATCAAGGAATTGCGGAATAGAGGATCTAGAAATTCCTTGAAAAATCGATGCTTATTTGGCAAAGGATACATACAGAGAACAAAACTCTTCTGAAGCACATGCTGCACATATCCTATAGAATGCAACTTCTAAACTACCTTATAGCATGCTTTTATACAATTCCACCGATTTGCCCTACATACACATTATAGAATACCATGTGTAATACACTGTAGGATAATTTGAAGACGAACACCTTTATTTGCTACATCCTGTGTACCTTATGTATGCCATATAGAATACATATACGGTACCATTTAGGATACCCTTTAGAATCCTTTATAGAAAACATTAAAAGGTACCTTATAGGTACGGACTTTAAATATGGAAAGCCAGGCGGAGCCCAAGATCTGAGAATTTCCAGTTGAATTGCAGCTTTTGGGCAATGGATTCCTATGAAGAAATCAGGAACCAAGAAGACCACCCCAACTACCTTATAAAATACCCTCTCTATGCACCTGAATGAATTTCAAATAAAATACACTATAGAATACCTTCCTACGTATAGGCCGCAGAATGCCTTTTTGTACAATACCTTATGGTACACCCTCTAGAACACCGTATAGAATGACCTATAGAATAACATCCTTACGGAAGACCGCCTATGGAGTATATCCTCAGAATACCTCAAATATCCTCAAATATACCTCGTAGAATATCCTCTAGAATACCTTTTAAGATACTATTTAGAATAACTTTTAGTATGCCCTCTAGATCACGGTTCAAAAAAGGAACATCAGAAATAGCGTAGCATACAGAGGACAGTAGACAATACTTCATGGTATTGTCTTACTTCGAACGGTGTAATGTCGTCGTAGACAGGGAAGACTACGCAGTATATAACAGTTTTGTTCGGAGTGGAGTCGTGACGTCGTCTAGACAGTACAAGAAGAGGCTTCAAGGTAGGTCCTGGAGGGGGGGGGTAGCATATATATATATATATATATATGTATGTATGTATATGAGTGTAGCCGTTCATGTACTTAGGCTCCAGTTTATTGTCGGGTGGACAGACAACGAAACGCACTCCTGAGCCGCTACATATGCAATCGTGCTGTCAATGGAGAACCACAACCAATCAGCCTGCCGTTGTGGGTGAAACATCGGCAGGTGTTTAGCGTGTTGGATTCTTTGCAGGCGTCCTGTGTCTGCATGCATGAGCTCATTTATATGCACAGTTTGTTAATGAATATGCATGCACATGCATGTCTAGCTATGTGCCACTGTTGCTACAACCATTATTATGACCAGTGCTATAGCTATATTTAGTTTATATCCCTGTCTTGTATTAGTTGTTTCTGGCGTTGTGGCTATGGTGATGGCTGCCTTAATTGTCCGTGTGGGGTGCACTTATAATCTTCAAGCAACGTTCCACATGCAGAAAAGTATACACACCCATATCTCCTACGACCATGCATGCTTGTGGATGATGTGGCGAGCTACGTGTCTACAGGTTACAGAAGGTTTGTTACATGCCCGCAAACACATGGCGAGAGTTTCTTTCGTCGTGATGACCAACCCCACGCATGGATGTATGCTTACCATTTGACCAGCGCCAGGTTTTTAAGGCCGCAGGCTTTCGTGTTTGTGAGATGGAGCGCTGCAGGTCTCGCAGGGCCCATATACTGTTTATCGCCCGGTCAAGCCTTGGGTCGAGCTTTATGAGTTGCATTTGCAAATTTTCCAGCCAATGCCTCGCTTGCACTTTCTCGCAAATTCGTCATCAATGCATGCTGTTGTGTCAATGCAGACGCAGCTGGTGCTCGAAACTCTTGGAGTGCCGACGAGAACCAGCATTTTTGATATCCCAGTGTTGTAAAGGTTTTGACAAGCCCTAAACTCTAGGCCCTAAATTCTTCCTAACAACCCCATGAACCCTGATGAATCCCACTACAGCCACCCTAAAAACCATCATAATTCGCAATAGGCAAACCCTGAACCCTACAGACCTTTCTTTTAAAAAACCTTACACCAAAGCCTTAAACTCTAAACCCTGAAAACCCTAAATGTTACCCAGACCCCCCAACTACCCTCTAATACCCCAAATACCCACTGTTAAGGGCGGTCCTGGCAAACCCCCATCAGGGATGCCTAAGCCCTGCCCTAAACCAGACAAACCCTGAACACTGTCAACAAACAACTGAAAAGCCTGAACTCTAAACCCCCACTTGGAGGTTCATGGGTATTATAAGTGGCGTTATAAGTCCCCTGATATGGGTTATATGTATAGTTACCCCACTTATAACCCTACATATAAGTACCCATGAACCTCCAAGTAAACCGTAAACCCCAAACTCCACACCCTGAACCCCCATAGTACCCGTATAGTAACCCTTATACATCCCTTAAAGGAACCTAAACCCTCAACCCCCATCTGAGGTCAAGGAGGCATGCCTTTTGGCAGCCCCTGCCCTGAGGATGGCTCTTCGCCATCTTTTCCCTCGCAGGAGGGGTTCAGAAGTTTAGGGTTCAGGAGTTTAGGAGTCAGAGTTTGGGGCTGAAGGTTCAGGAGTTAGAGTTTAGGGTTCAAGAGTTTAGGGGTTGGAGTTTAGGGTTTAGGAGTTTAGGGGTTGGAGTTTAGGGTTTAGGAGTTTAGGGGTTGGAGTTTAGGGTTTAGGAGTTTAGGAGTCAGAGTTTGGGGCTGAAGGTTCAGGAGTTTCAGTTTAGGGTTCAAGAGTTTAGGGGTTGGAGTTTAGGGTTTAGGGGTTGGAGTTTAGGGTTCAGGAGTTTAGGAGTCAGAGTTTGGGGCTGAAGGTTCAAGAGTTTCAGTTTAGGGTTCAAGAGTTTAGGGGTTGGAGTTTAGGGTTTAGGGGTTGGAGTTTAGGGTTTTGGAGTTTGGGGGTTGGAGTTTAGGCTTCAGGGGTTGGAGTTTAGGAGTTGGAGTTTAGGGTTTTGGGTTCAGGAGTTAAAGTTTAGGGCTTGAGGGTGCAGGATGTAAAACTCAGGATTCAGGGTTCAGGGTTTAGGTGAAGCCCAGGCGCCGGAACAAACCCTAAACAGCCCGGGTTATAAGTAGGGTAGCTATGCCTATAACTCATATAAGGGGACCTATAACCTCACTTTTTACTACCCGAAACCCGAAACCCCTAAACCCTAAATCCCTATTGAACCCTTTAAAGGGACAATCAAAGGAACCCTTATTATAACTACCGATGAACCTACAAGCACAGCTCGGCAGGTGCTGCGAGGTGCTACCTGGAATGTGGAGCAGCTCGGCTTCGCGCCTTTTTTCAGGGTTTCTGCAAGGGGCGCCGCAAGGGTTCCTACAGCGGGTCCCTATGATGTAGAGGCCTAAATAATTACCAATACTATTTTAAGAACTCTTTATTGCAACTATAACATAATATACCCCAAAGCCCTATTCTAATTATTAAGGCCCCTAGATTGCGGGGTTTCTACAAGGGGTTCCGAAACGCAAGTTTCCAACAGCCGCGGCCCTGGGCAGGTGGTGGTTTGACCATTTCGGGTCTTAGGGATTTAAGGCGTTAGAGCAGGGTTTGACCTAAAACCTAGTTGGAAGGGCAGGGGACTTAGTAAGTAGGTTATAAGTAGAGTTATAAGTGCCTTAAATGGAGTTACCCCAATTATGACCCTACTTATAACCTACTTACTAAGTCCCCTGCCCTTCCAAGTAAGCCCTAAACCCTCAACCCCATATAGATCCCTATAAGGAACCCTATAGATCCCTTTAAGGAGCCCTTTAAGAGCCCTTCCTAAGTCAGCTTAGGGCCTCAGGTTCAGGTTATTTGCCTTCAAGATCACCGGAGCAGGAGCTGAGTAGTGATCCCATCACTCCTCTCAGATCCCCGTTTAGGGTTTAGGGTTTAGGGCCCAATAAGGACATGCGCAGTTATCAGTAGGGTTATAGGTCGGGTTCCTTTCATCGATCTATAGGGTTTCAGGTTTAGGGATGAGGGTTTAGGTTAGTTATAAGTAGGGTTATTCAGATCCCCGATACCCAACCTTTAAACTTTGTGGGTTCTTGTACTTTAGTAGGAATCGGAAAGTTTAACCTTTCGTTTCAGTGGCTTATTGCGGGAGTAAGTCCTTCTAGCTTTAAAGGTTCTGCTAGGATTTTATACGAAATTGTAAAAGTGGTTTATCGGCTTGCAAAGGATTCATACTCGTTTCTTAAGTTTTCATGCTTAATGTGCTTTCGATATCCAGTTGGAGGAGCCGTCGCCTGCGTTGAATTGAGTCCTCTGCTTTTCACACTTTCTTCCCCCCCGAACCCCAAAATCCCCAAGCCCCCCCGCCCCCAGCGAGTCCTATCCGGAAGACTCTGTGAGGCAGCACGGACCTTGGTGGTGAACAAGGCCAGCGAACGATGGCGGCCTTTGGAATTGACGTTCATACGAGTTGTGCAGCTACGAGTGCGCGGGGTCGAGGTGGTTGCAACTCCGGCAGCTGGCTCAGGCCATTTGTCACCAGGTTGTTTGGCAAATGAGCCAAAATATGAATCCTGTCAGCCGGCACGACAGGCATGAGAGTTGCGGCCAGAAGCCGCTTTGGGGCATGTCGTGCCAGGCCATGGTGAGGATAAATGCCAGAGCCGCTGGACTCGCGTGGCCACATTCTTTGTCCATGCATGCGTCCTACACCACATGCGCGGCACCTGCTTGTAACTGAGTCGACATGCGTGCGCCAGGTGATCAGTGCTCCGAATGGGACAACTGGAGGTCTTGGCGACGCGTCGTGTGGTGGCAAACATCAGAATGACCCGCGCTTGAGCGACAGCTCTTGGCATGGCGCATCAGAAAATGAGGCTTCTCAGTAGAGCCTGCTTAAAGGCTTAGCGCAACAGTCACAACAGACCAGGCCCGGGGGGTTCAGGCCATATTTGTAGACCTGAAGCTTATACAATAGGGAACCCAACGGAAGAATATTATATTCATTCGTCAGGGTGTTGTATCTCGTTTGTTGACAAACGGTCTTGGGTCTGTAGAGCATTATGTACGGGTCTTGCGAGTTAAATCTGATGAAAACTCGAAGCTTAAAACTGTAACGCCTCAAAGGTTGGAGGAAGCCATCGGCCGCGCGATAGGCCCGCACTTTAGGTTGTTTTATGGGTTTAGGATTGTTTAGGGTCACGTAAGAGTCTGGCATTTAGGGCTGAGGTGTGGAATTTCGGGCTTTGGGTTAGGGAGCAGTAGGGTTTGGAGTGATACGATCTAGGAAGTACTTTCAACCCTGAATTCTCCGTATTTGTGCTTGAGTAGTTCGTACTGTTTTGTGTGTTTTCCGTAGTAGGGTATTCGAAAAAGCAACCTGATAGCATATTTCTCCGGAAGAAACTAGTCCAAACGTTCCAAGGGTAAAAGGAGGGACCCTTGATAAGGACCCCTAGGTATATACCCATATAGCTACTTTATACCCATTTTATAGCCCATTATAGGGTAGAGGTCCCCATTAAGGGTCCCTCCTGGTCCCCTTTGATACATGTTTAGGGATAGAGAAACCTGGGGTTCGAGAGTTGAAGAGGTTTTCATGCAGAGTGTCATCTCAATTCAGGAAAGGATTTTAAGTTTATGTTTGGGTGGTTGTCAAAAGTATTGTCCCTTTTTGGGTCCCTGTGAGAATACGGCACCTACTATTTAGGGTACCCAAAGCCGGGCCCTAATTTTGACAACCACCCATATGGCTTTAGCTAAACAGCGTCTCTTGAGCTTCTGGATGCTTGGGCTAATTAGGGACCCGCAATTGAGGGTCGGAGGAGTCTGAAGGCAGTTTAGAATTTTGGGGCTTGCTTGGATCCTATAAAACCAAGCTGTTCAGGGTTCCCTACTATGATTTCCTTGTGAACTTGTAAAAGGCAGGCTCTCTGAAAGAGTTATCATCATCACAACATAATCTAGCCTAGAAGCCTGTTCCACTGATAAGTGCAAATCCAACTAAGGTAAAAGCCAGAAAGTTGGAATATGATTATCCTAACCCTCCTATGGTAAATTATAGGGTATCCTGCCCTGAAACCAAATTCCGACTTTCTGGAGTTTCCTATAAGAGTTCCTGTCAAGCACCGAAGAACCGAAGAACCCAAAGCCCGATGTCTTTAGGACTGAGGGTATTTGGATTTTGGGCTGTAGGGTACTTAGAGGATCATGGGACTTAGTAAGTAGGTTATAATTGGGGTTATAAGTCCCCTAAGTGGGGTTATCCTAATTATAACCTACTTATAACCTTACTTACTAAGTCCCATGAGCCTTCAAGTACTGGGTTAAGGGTTTAGGGCGTAGGGTATTCGAGTTTTGGCGAAATCCTATGTGCCGCAGGGGACATCGGTGCCCAGTTGGACGTTCATGCTGCGCTGCTGCCTACGATCAACATCCTGCCCTGGCTGAACTGGGGCAGGGCCCAAGAGAGCTACGGCGAGGACCGGTAAGCTCCGCCGTGGACCCCAAGTCAGAAGCCTTACAACTTAAGTGACCAGGCCAGAACCCACTGTGGACCCCGAGTCAGAAACCTTACAACTTAAGTGACCAGACCAAAACCCACTTTTCTGTACGTGCTTATGAAAAACCCAAGTACAGGTGTTGGGGACCCTACGAAAAAGGTAGGTTTTGGTAGGATAAGGTAAACCCCAAGCAAGCCCCGAGGCTTATAAGCCATAAAGCAGACCCCAGGACTTGAACCTAATATAGGGGCTTGAATAATTACCTTTGTTTTTTTGGTGGGTTCGTTGTTATAATAAGCATAGTATAGTAAACCCCCCCCAAAAAAAAACCTTATTCTGATCTTGAAGGCCCTTATATAGTAGCTATGCACTCTCAGGCTGTTTCTTCTTCGCGGCTTTGGTTTTGGGGTCTTGGGGTTTGGGGTTTGGGGCTTAGGGTACAGTGGTTGCGATGTTGAGTTTTGGGTGTTGGGGTTTGGGGTTTAGGGTCGTGGGTTTTGGCTTTGTAGAGCCTGCCCCAAAGCATTCTTGCCCTTGCGTATACCGAGACATCGAATCCCAGACCTGAGAGCCCAAACCCGGAAATCCCGAACCCATCCTCTTTCGAGGACAGGCTCAAAACTAAAACGGCCTACCTGCCAAACATGGAGACAATAGGAAGCCGAAAGATCATTTGAGCACGGAGGATTCTAGCATGGATAGGCTACATAGACAGAGGGCGCATAACCGGGTTCATCTCAAAGAAGCCCATGACTGTCTTCACAGAAGAAGCTCCTGTCTTCCAATCATGGAGAGGGCCCTTTCTTGAGAGGCGAGACCCTCAGCCCTAAATCCCCTACAGTAGAAGCCCAGAAGTTGGAAACCTAATAGCCTCAATCCTTAAGAGGCATATATAAGGAATTCCCTGCACTATTTGGCCTTAATCCGGTTTCCAACTTTATGGGTTCTACTTCTAAACCCTATAGATCCCTTAAAGGAACCCTAAAGATCCCTTATAAAGGAACCCTAAACCCAAGCACTGAACCTGGAGAGGACCCCTTCTTCAGCGGGAAGATGGGTGCCGCCGTGGTCCGAGGGGTCCAGCAGCCGAGATGCCAGTGGTTTTAGGGGCCCAAAAGCAGTTTAGGGTTTAGGGTTTAGGGGTTTGGGGTTTAGGGTTTAGGGTTTAGGGTTCCCTACCTTAACAGTCCCTATCCTAATTTATGCTTATGTGCTTTTTTGGGGGCCCTAGTGGTGCTTGATTTGTTGTTTGAGCTCGGTTGGGGAGATTCGAGGCAAAGCATGTTTCATTTTGATGCCAGACTCCGGTGCACTACTTGGAAGGGCAGGGGACTTAGTAAGTAGGTTATAAGTAGGGTTATAATTGGGGTAGATCCATTTAGGGCACTTATAACTCTACTTATAACCTACTTACTAAGTCCCTTGCCCTTCCAAGTATGGGGGGCGTTGGGAGTTTGGTGTATCTGCTCTGAGATTTGGGCTTGGCATCCGCAGCTCAACTCGGGAGGTTTGTAGTCTTCTCCACTTCTTCTAGGATGCCCAGTAGTACCCTTATTCCCTTTCTGTAGTCCTAGGTTCCTTATAAAGTTACTCAATATCGAAAAGAGAGGCCTTTTTATTCTTAGGTTACTGGGTATCCTAGTCTTGCTTGGTGAAACATGGAGCTTTGCATGCTAATCCGGATCAGTAAGGCATGAGGGCAAAGTGATGGCGACGGCGAAGCATTTCCTTGCCAACAACATCGAGAACACCAGGCATGCGGGCAGCTAGTATAGAGGTCGAGTGAATAGCCATTCAATACCATAAGCCTGAAAGGCCCTACGTAAACCCCAAGCCCCCAAACCTTAAACCCCAACAAGGCACTGAACCCTAAACTCCCCAAGAGGCCCTAAACCTTAAACCCTCCAAAGGCCCCAAACCCTAAACCCTATCCTTGTAGCTCCGAACTATTAGAGTAGAAGCCAGGAAGTTGGAACATCATTATCCTCATGCCCTTAAGGTAAAGTATAGGGAATCCCAGCACGAATCATCCTAAATCCATGTTCCAACCTTTTTAGGGTTCACTATAAAAGCCAGGGCGTGCCTGCTGCCTTGAAGTCCCACCTTCTCCCGGTTCCTCTTCCCGGCCGTCGGTGTGGGTGAATCAGAAGTTTTGGGGCTTGGGTTTGGGTTTCAGGGGAGGATGGGTAGGAACCATTGTTGGGTTGTGGGTTGAGGGTGAAGGGTTTACGACAAGGTAGGTACGAAGCACATGCACAAATAAGCAGAGCTAGAACCAACAGTCCTGCACCGTAGAACCCTGAGACAAGCCCCAAGCGCTCCGCAAGATAATTCTGGAAGCAACAATGAAGCCAATGTTTGTCCCATGCTTTGTGGTTGAGGTTCGGGCTAAGACTTTTTATAGTCATTATCAACAGACCCTTCAAACCCCTTAAGGTGGTGGGTGAGTGCTGAGATGGACGAGCAGACGTTGCACGATGTTTACCTCAGGCCTCCCGAGAGAGAGAGAGAGAGAGAGAGAGAGAGAGAGAGAGAGAGAGAGATAGAGACAGAGAGAGAGAGAGAGAGAGAGACAAAAAGAGAGAGAGAGACAGAGAGATAAGAGAGAGAGAGAGAGAGAGAGAGAGAGAGAGAGAGAGAGAGAGAGAGAGAGAGAGAGAGAGAGAGAGAGAGAGAGAGAGAGAGAGAGAGCGAGAGCGAGAGCGAGAGCGAGAGCGAGAGGGAGAGGGAGAGAGAGAGAGAGAGAGAGAGAGAGAATATGCCGCCTCAGTTAATAAAGGATTTGGCTATGGGGTTTTGGGATTCGGCAGAGAAATGGAGTTTGCAAGTTTGAACTGGTTTCGTTTGTTCGTTACTTGGTTTGGTAGGTAGGTACGTAGGTGGGTAGGTAGCTAAGTGTTTGGGCGGGCAGGCAGGCAGGCAGGCAGGCAGGCAGGCAGGCAGACAAGTTGGTAGGCTGGTAGGTTTGGAGTAGGGGGTAAGTAAGTTAGCCAGCAAGTAGGCAAGCAAGTGCAGTGGTAGCATGGTGCCGTAGCCGCAGTAGCAATGGTAGTCGTCGTCTTCCTCGTCGTCGTCGCAGTAGTTGCAGGAGTAGGAGTAGGAATAGCAGCGGGAGCAGCAGCAGCAGCAGCAGCAGCAGCAGCAGCAGCAGCAGCAGCAGCAGCGACAGCACCGGGCGCAGTAGCAGTAGATGACTACTGCGCTTGCCTATTTCGCTGATGCTCAAGATGACTACCTTACTTGGAGGTTCATGGGTAGTTACCAGCAGAGTTAGAAGTCCCCTCGTATGGGTTACAAGTACAGTTACCCTACTTCTAACCCTACTTATAACTACCCATGAACCTCCAAGCATGGTTGTTGTAAACCATCCTTTAAATGTTGCTCTTATTCTGGTAGCTCGCCTTCGTTTGCCAAGTATCCAGAGCCCGAGACCATGAGCTGCACCCAAACCTGAAACCCTAGTAAGGCATGTGGGACTTTCCGAACATTAGGGGTATCTTTAAAGGATCCTTAAAGGGCTCCTTAAAGGGATCCATAAGGCTTCTATAAAGGGTTTAGGGTTTCCGAAAATTAGGGGTACCTTATATTTTGGGGTCCTTATAATAAGGATCCTACCATCTGGGTGCTATATCAGGCTCCCCTATTTTCGGAAGCTTCCTAGTAAGGCATGTGAGCAGATACACATAGTAATAGCAATATCGCACCTTTATATTCTAGGCTCTGTGTAATCACACAAAACCCCTACCCCAAAACCCCTTTCATAGTTATGAAAACCCTTCTATTAAGCCCTAGTTAGTGGTCTGCTTGGACGGTCGGGGGACTTAGTAAGTAGGTAGTAAGTAGAGTTATAAGTACCTTGGGGTTATGATACTTATACCTCTAGAAAATTACTAAGTCCCCGACCCTCCAAGAAACCTTAGTAATTCGAATCCAGGGCATGGGCATTGATCGTCCGGGAATCTGCGCCAGAGCTGGTGATGACTTCCTACAACAGGCCAGGGCTTGAAGTTTGAAGGTTCATGGGCAGCTTGGGGTTACGGGATCTGGGGGTTTAGGGTTTGAGGGAACAGGGGTATAGGGATGAAGGTTCATGCGCAGCTCAGGCCTTAGGGGGTTTGGGGGTTTCGGGGATTTGGGGGGTTTAGGGATTTAGGGTTACGGGAGTTTGGGGGTTTAGGGATTTTGGGGGTTTAGGGATTTGGGGGGTTTAGGGATTTAGGGTTACGGGATTTGGGGGTTTCGGGATTTGGGAGTTTAGGGTTTGAGGAGGCCTTGAAGGTTCATGGGCAGCTTAGGGCCGTAGGGGGTTTGGAGGAAGGTGGGACTTCAAGGCAGCAGAAAAGCCCTGGCCTTTAAGAGTTCGGAGCTACAAGGGTAGGGTTTAGGGTTTAGGGCCTTTGGGGGTTTAGGGATTTGGGGTTTAGGGTTTGAGGGAAAGGGATTTGTGGGTATAGGGATGAAGCTTCATGGCTGGTTAATTTTGGTGGTTGCACGTGCCTTGATTCGGGGGTTACTAGTAGCTAGAAGTTTAGTTGCCCAAGACCCCCAAACCCTCAACCCTAAGCCCTAAACCCCAAACCCTGAAGCCCTAAACCCTAAAGCCCTAAAGGATTCATACCTACACCCCTAAAGCCCAAACCCCTGAACCCTACACCTTCCACGCTTCGAAGTTCTGCGATCCCAGCGCAGCCCTGGATTAAGTGCTTTGCGATGCCCAGCCCTGTGACTGAGGAGCCCCTTCTTTATAGGATCCTTAAGGGGTGGTGGTTCAAGGGGGGAGGGTACTAGGGAGCTTTGGGGAACCTTAGGGAAGCTTAGGGAGTATTGGGGAATAATGGGGATTACTAGGTTACCTACCCCCCTTGGACCACCCCCCCTTAAGGACATCCTAACTTCTGGAGAGCCCAATATCCCTTAATTAAGGAATACCTAGGGCCTATAGGGCTCCTTTAAGGATTCTATAGGGTTTATTAGGGTTTAGTGGGCTCCAATAGCCCTCAAATTTAAGGAGTATAGCTTAAATCATAATATGAAGCCCCTGATGATTTAAGGTATATTCCTTAATTATGGGGTATTGGGTTCTCTGGGCTGAACTCTTGAGCTTAGTATCAAAGGGGAAAAGGAGGGACCCTTAATGGGTACCTCTACCCTATAATGGGCTATTAAGGGGTATCTACCTAGGGGTCCTTATTATTAAGGGTCCCTCCTTCTACCCTTGGATAGTAGAGTACTTGGACGGTCGGCGACTTAGTAAGTTGGTGGCAAGTAGTATGTGGGAGTTTCCGAAAATAGGGGACCCATATAGTACCCTAAATAGTAGGATCCTTACTATAAGGACCCCAAAATAAGGTACCCCTAGAACTCCCATATTAAGTACCCTCCAAATTTTTGCAACTCTGCAAAACAATCTCTTGCTAAGTCCTCCCCCCACCCTCCCAGCAGCTAACCTTCAACAGGTTTGCCATAATTCAAGGGGTTTTATAGGGGTTCCATCAGGGTTCCTTGGTCGAAGAGTAGCTAACCATTTCAACTTGTTGGGAGAGGGTTTCGTGTCTTGGGTGTACGGCTTAGTATTATATAGAGTAGGTAACCTTCGGCCTTTTTGGGATACTATAACTACAGTAGAAGCCCAAAAGTTGGAAACCCCATAGCCTTAATCCTTAAGAGTAATGTATAGGGAATCCCAGCACTATTGGGCCTTAATCCGGTTTCCAACTTTTTGGGGTTTACTGTAAACCCCTCTACAATCCTAAGATTCTGTACCAAAAAGCTTTATAGTAAGGTAATCAAGTGGCAGTACTTTGTATATTTGTAGTTACACTTGCAGTAAATGACTACATAACCTAAGGTCGATTCCTTCATAAGGCACGTACTTCGGATCATTAAGACTTCTTTCATGGTTTACCCTATATTCCTCCATTAAGCGATTCCATGCAGGGATATCGGGCTCTCTAGGATCTGATGCCAGGGTGCAGGGAGAATGGGCCTTCGCCCACCCGAAGTTCATCAACCTCCTCAGAAGCTGGGTTCGGGAGTACCATGCTTCGACTTTTTGGGGGGACTTGTTCCTTTATTAAGTCGGGACATACTTCAACATTTTTGGGGGGATTTGTTTCTTTATTAAGCATGTTTTCTCTGGTAATTTCAAAGCCCAGGAAATCAGCTCGGCTTCGATGGAAGCATCATGACAGAGCCTTGGAGTAGAATCATGGGTTTAGGGTTGAAGGTTTAGGGTTTGGGGGTTTGGGTTAAGGGTTTAGGGGCATTGGGTCTAGGGTCTATGCTATGGATCCGATCTGCCTGATGAGGCTCTTGAGGGCTTGATACGGGTGTTCGGTTCGGACCAGATGGGTTCATTTACGTTTTTGGGTTTAGGGTTATCAGGGTGTGCCTAAAACCTAAACCCTAAACCCTAAACCGCCTAGACCTTACAAATCTTTAGGTGACTTGGCAGTGCTTTACCGGGTGTTTTCGGCTCGGGCTCTTAGTTGGACGCCAGCAATGCCCCTAGTAGTAGAGTAGGTAACCTTTATCCTTTTTGGGGTAGTATTGTCCCTATAAAACCCCCTATATAACCAAAAAGGTTAACCTTTAGTTCCCCATGATACCCGACAGGTAGGTGTCGATATTATGTTTCGTGGAGATTGTTCCTGACCCGTAACCTTGCGCAATACGCGTGAAGCCCGTAAAGCCGCAAGCTTTAATTTCTGAAAAGCTTCAAATCCATGCTGCCTACAGGGAGATAGCTCACCTCAACTGCTTCGAAGCGCAAAACCTTCAGACATGCACTGACCGACAAACGCAACACCCGTTTCTCCCACCTCCGTTTCAAACTTCATGCGCAGAAGAAAACAACCTTAAAGCCGCTTGAATGCTTTAAACCTTAAACCACCCCTGCCCTACCCCTTTAGCATCCTCAAGCCTCCTTTAGATCCTGAACCCTAAACTCCCTGATCCCACAAAGCCCTAACCCACCCCTTTGAAACCCGAAACCCTAACATGAGGCTACAGCTCAAGTGATGGCTCAAGTCTTGAAGCTTCTTCGCAGCACGGCAGTCTTGATTGACGCCCGCCGTGGAGCCTTGGATGCCACTGATTCTTGTTTCAGCAATAGCTGGCTGCGTGGTCCCTGACGACATCTGTCGAAGCTCCAGGTGTCACCATTGAGTTTCACTCTAGTTGCTCCAGAGTCTATCCTCGCAGGTCAGCACGTTAAGCTTGCTAGTCCTTCCGAGCCAGCAGAACCAACGACCCAGTTGGATGCACTTCTGTTCTCAAGCCCGCTTCGTGCTGAAGCCGTTGCCGTGGTCACCAGCCTTCGAAAGTGCTTTCTTGGACACGGTCTTTGAGAACCACGAAATTTCTCGAGGTTCCTACGGTATTGTCCGCGCAGACGTGTTGGAAGAGCACGAGGTGGTGACCAAGCAGATGTTCCGCGACCGCGGATGAAGAGCTTCTTAAGGAAATTACCGTGGGCTCCTTGTTCCTGCATCTCCACATTTCGGGTATGCAGCGACTTCCGACGGGCAGCCGCGCCTGCAGGACTGAGCAAGAGCAATTTGCAGCTTGATGCGTTGTATCATATCATAAGCATTGTCCACGCTCTGTAGGCGGAGGCTGAGCAGTGGTTTCAGAACCACATTGACGACGCTTATCCTGTGCAGCTTGGCAGGAACGTTGCAGCTTGTCAAACGACGAATGAAGCCATGTTTGTTGCAAAACCCAGGAGGAAGATCGCCACTACCACGGCCCAGCGTTCCAGGCCATTTCGGTAAATGTGTTGGTTGCGCTGGTTTGCCAGAGTTTTGCCAGTCTCGAATGGACCATCTTGCTGAGTTGGGTGTTGCCCATGCCTGTGGGCCTCGGTAAATTTGCATAGGACGGGCGCTTTGGTCCTGCACCCGGAGGGCGAAACACCCTACGAGGTGCCGGCCAACGAGGCAAGGCTCTACGTCACCGTTGGCTCGAGAGCAGCTCGGCCTTCTTGATGTACGCATGTAGACCTGCATATTGAGACAAGCTGAAACGGGGCAGCTCAAACAAATGAACATTTCTGATTCTGAGTGACACAATATGTTCAGACCTTTGTGTTGACGGGTCAAAACTTGTGCATGCGCCAACGAAGACGTAAATAGATTGTGACAATACTTGGGAGTCGTCTCACAGTATTTCAGACTGAACACAGGCGGACCGACAAACAACTTGTCACCCCACCTGCGGCTTGTCAAATCCGCCATGTCATTGTATTTGCACGCATGCCAGAGACTGCGGTGCAATTCCTGAAGTGCAAGGACTGGACCCGGCGGCTGCTGCTGATGCATGGAACCGGAACGCGCCGCCTTGATGGTGTGGGCCCCCCCGCGGGCGGAGCCCGGGGGGAACCGCTACCTGTGGTGCCACCTCTGTTGGGGGGCGGGCATTCCGCTGTCCAGAAGCGACTGCGAGACCCACCCGGACGAAGAGTCAGGGCGAACGCGGAAGGTCATTTCTTGAGTTCAATTTTCTCGTTCATTTTGCTTCATTTTTCTTCAATGTTCATCTCTCTTTTATATTCATTTATTTTTAACTTTTGAGCAGGAGCCGGGCGGGATCCTTTTCCGTGCGGGGAGAGTAGCAATGTGGGGACCGGGCAAAGGGGGTCGTGCGCGTTCGCTTCACTTCTACTTGCTTCAAACACGCAAGCTGGCATAGAAAAGGGTCCGTTACCGTAAGTCCCTGAAACCCTCCAAGGACTGGTTCGCTTCCTGGGAAGGTCGGAATCCACATGGTGAAGAGTCTCAGGAAGTTTTGGCTTGAGGGGTTTTGTGCATCTGCCAACATTGGAGCCTCAAAATCTGCTTGCATCATTGCTGCATGATGCAATGCAGTCGGTACACGATGCCTCAAAGCCTTATTCTGTGAGTCACTGAATCAATCGACCCCAAACCCTATAGACCGCAAACCTTAGCTCAGTTACAGGGGTTCTTGCCTCGGGTTGGAGGTGGGGCTTTAGGGTGTATGGCTTGGGGTATATTATTGTAAGCTTATGATCCTTGCTTCTTCGAACATGTTTCAAAATTGGAGGGAGGCAAGGTTTGGATTGCGGTCCTTTTTAACAGGGTGTTACTTAAGGCTCCTTGTTTTTTTGATGGGATGCATGTGATGTGGGCTTGTTAGCGAATTAGAACCCCCGTAGATAAACAACCAAAGTATACGCTCCCCAACAATTTTTTGCAATACACGCACGACGAACCCAATAGAAACCCTTACCATATGTCGTCTTTTGAGCCACTCTAAACCCTAAAATCTTAATTAAACCCTTCCCTGATCAACCCAGAGCTCGTTCTTTGCGAGGCATCACCAGCGGTCGCATCCTTTTTGATTCCGGGGCTTCGAGCCCTTTCTTCTTCACCGCCCCAGGCTTCATGAGCAGCAACAGCCACCTGGCTCGCATTGCAAATTTTGCCGCCGACCGACTCAACTTTCTCCGGTTTCGCAAGATTGACCAAGCACCCGACGATTTCAACCGCCGAGATTGTAACCCTCCAACATCCCCAAGACCTCTGCATGGACTCCAAGCCCCACGAGTCTGCGGCTTCTTGGGTTTGTGACATCTGCAATCTAAGCCTTGTAGGCCGCTCCGAGCCAAGGTCTTTATGCTGCAGGGGTTGACATGGAGATGCCTTTCTGCAGCAAAAACCGCGATGCCGTGTCCGAGGCGGAAGGGGCCTGCTGGTGGTGTCTGTGGGTAGAACCTCTAGTACTCGTTGCAATTCTTCGAGTTCCTGTCTAATCAGAACCCTTATTCGAAAGTTGCAACGATCGGCTCCTAATCTGGCCCCTGAGGCCCTTTAGATGGATTTTTAAGGGTACATAGGGGGGAAAAAAAGTATATAAGGATCCCAGTGATAAGGGCCCGTACCATGGGCCCATGGTTTCAACCTCAGACATATGGGTAGTTGTCAAAGTTAGTCCCTTGTTCGGTACCTAAGTATTAGGTGCCGAATTATAATAAGGACCCAAACAGGGACCATAATTGTGACAACCACACATATGGGATCAGGCCCAGCTGTGCTCCGATGCGCAAGACAGCTGCGAGACGAAACAGCTCCTGGGCTTAGGGCTCGCTAGGGCTTCGGCTTTGATAGAGCTTTTGTATTTGTAAACAGTGTGTGTACATGGGGTTTACAGACCATTCAGGTTTAAGTTTTAGGTTTTGGAGGTTTGCGGTTTATTTATGATTTGGGTCTGTAGATTTCGTCTGCTTGTGAGTATTGGCGTGCATGTGCACGGTTTTAGCAAGATAGCTTGAAACTAATGTCCCTCATTTGCGCATTAGCAGGAATGGTATGATGCTGCTGATGATGTTTTGATGATATGATGATATGTCAATTTTCATTTTCATAGAGGTTTCTGTTGTTTTTGAACAGAGTTTGAAATGGTACCGTTGTGCTGTTGTTTGCAATCGGCTGGTGCGCACCGTTTGCACCTGAAGTCCTTGACCCTCAACCCTTAAACTTCCCCTGTTTTCACACCGCGAACCCAAACGCCCTAATCCTTAAGCCTAATCCTGTATACACACGCTAAACGCCTTAAGCCCCTAACGCTAGCAGGCATGGAAAACTCTTCAAAATTCTGTCACGAGATCCTCTATACCACTAAGGTATCTGGATGCAGCGGTGACGCGCATCTTGCGATCCAAGTCCAGGTGGTCCTGGCTTAAATTTGTAGCTGGTTTGGGGGGTAATTAGGTATTACAATAGATACTATAGGAGCCCTCAAGAGACAACCCTAAACCCTAAACCCGCTTGAACCCCATACTTTCAAAGAAACCCAAGACTGAGTCCCGAACCCATAGAGGAGCCTCAAGGCCTAAGGTGAGTAACAACAAACAGACGGCTTCACCTTAACTAAACCCTCCACCCCAAAACGCTCAGCCATAAAAAGCCCTAAACCCCAAGGCCCTAAACCCCAAGGCCCTAAACCCTAAACCCTAAACCCCAAGGCCCTAAACCCTAAAACCCTAAACCCTAAACCCCAAGGCCCTAAACGCTAAAACCCCAGAGCTCTGAGCCTTAAAGCCCCAGAGCCCTAAAGCCCTAAACTCTAAAGCCCGAAAACCCCCAAACCCGAAAGCCCGAAGGGCGCCAAGCCCTAGAACCCTAAAGCCCTACACCCTATGCTATATAAGGGGTTCCTTTAAAGGGGTCTATATGAGGGGTTCCTTAAAGGGGTCTATAGTAGGGTTTCGGGGTGTAAGGTAGTTGTCAAAATTATGGCACCTTTTTGGGTACCCTAAATATTAGCTGCCGTATTATATTAGGGACCCAAAATGAGACAACCACCCCTATGTAGGTTCCGGGGCCCATTTTGCAATATTGGTTTTGGCCCTAAACCCTAAATTGCTTAAATCCTAAACCCCGAACCTTAAACTCTTAAACCCTCAACCCTAAACCGCCTAAACCGCCGAAACCTTGAACCTTACACCCAAAACCTTAAATCCTAAACCCTAAGCCTTACACCCTAAACCCCTATGTAAACCCTAACCCTAGCCCGAACGTCAGGTATGGCCTCTTCGGGCAGAGTTCGAACCTCAGCCGGACGACCTGGGACAACGAGAAGTTTGACAGGCCCGGCTGGGGTTTCGTCTTTAGGGTTTTTCTAGGGCTGTAGGGCTTTGTAGCGCTTTAGGGTTTAGGGTTTTAAGGTTTAGGGCTGTGGGCTTCAAGTTTAGGGTTTTGAGGCTTAGGGGGTTTTAGGGTTCTGGCTTCAAGGGCTTTGGGTGTATTTAGGGTTTAGGGGGTTTTAGGGTTTGGGAAGAAGGCTTTAGGGTTTTGGGTTTAGGGTACTTAGGCGGTTTGACGGCGTAAAGCCTATACAGCCTAAATCCTGAACCCTAATTTAAACTCTTACCCAGCGCGCATGTCTGAACTCTGTCGTTTAGTTGAAGCCCTACTTGGAGGTTCATGGGTAGTCAGTGGCAGTTACAAGTGGGGATAAAAAGTCTTCGAGTGTGGGCCATAAGCTAGTTACCCTACTTATGACTGCCCATGAACCTCCAAGTACAACGAACCCACCGAAACTCAAGAAAGCCCTGCCAAGGTCCTTCTCGCATGCTTTGTTTGAGTTGCCGGAGTCTCCGAGAGACCCCTAAACCTGAGCAGCTTAAACCCAAAACCCCCAAACCCGATACCAGAACATGCCGAATAAACCTTCACGGTTGAGGGTGCTAGGGTGGTTGGGGTTCGTCGTGCCAGGCTTTAGGGAAGGTTCGTTCTTAGAGACAGCGGGTTCCGTTTCAGGCTGACTCTGCAAGCTGCGCATGAGGGCATGGTCCTCTTGAAGAACGATGGTGGTCTCCTTCCGCAGGCAGGGGTTTTAGGTCTTTCTTCTCCTGCATGTACTGGCGAAGATACCCCGCGCTCTCGCCGCAGGCGCCGGGCATCCGTGTGGCGGTGCTGGGCACTGCCGAGGCGAAGGGTAGAACATACGATTTGGATTAAACCTATAGGGGCCTCAATAGTTAGTATAGGATTCCTTTAAAGGGCTCCTTTAGGGGATACTATGAGGATACTACAAGGGTTTCGTCTAGGGGCCTTAATAATTAGAATGGGGTTTTCGGGCCCATTATACTCTCCTTTCACTGAGGAGTTCCCAGAATAGTATAGGTAATTTGTTTAGGCCCCTATAGTATCCTGAAGAAGCATTTGGAAGTGAACGAACAATTATGGGAGGCGCAGACAAGAAGGAGCACCATGGAAAAAAACCTGACGAAGTGAACCCCAACGCCAGCAGAACACTGACCTTCGGCGAATTCCGACTATCAGCTTTGCAGAACTATTTTTGCGTATGCTACACTCGGCGAGCCTGTCGGTGCAGTCCAGATTTTCAGGGTTTAGGAGTTTAGGGTTCAAGTAAAAGCCAGAAAGTTGGAATATTATTATCCTAAACCCTTTATGGTAAATTACAAGGTATCCTACCCTGAAACCATATTCCAACTTTCTGGAGTTCCCTTTACGGTTTGTTGAGTCTGAACCTGAGACCTCAAGCCCGGAACCCCAGACCAAAAGCCCGCTCCGAGCACAAGACATGACAAAACCTCACAAGTGGGAGTTTGCGGAAATAGGGGACCCTAATATTGTACCCTAAATAGTAGGATCCTGATTATAAGGACCCCAAACCAGCCAGTGGCTGACGGACCAGTGCGGCACGTTGCCACGGACTCAGCAAGTGGTGAAGCGTGCGCGTGATGACCCCAGTCAAGGTTTTTCAAACTGATTGCTCCACAGATCATTCCTGGGATCATGTGGATTTCAGGCGATTCCTCGCGCCAGAAGTGCTGGGTGGTGAGCCGTACCGTGGACGTCCTGTGGATTGCTGGGCGAGTGGGATCATCCTATACGATTCTTGGCAGTTCAAAGGTCAGCCGTTGTGCCGCTGATTTGGGCCTGGCACGGATCGAGGAGCTTGCCTCCCACGGGTTGTGGCCGTTTCGGAGCAGAAATGGAAGAGGTTTGACTCTTCAAAGGCGTGCTGGCCGTTTTTGATTTCTGCCCGACAACGAACGATAATATCTTGAGCGGCAGGATGCTCAACAGGATCCGGGAGGGCTTGGCGTGCCTCACCCTGGATGAGATGCAAGCCGATTTGGACCAACCTGGCGGCATGGTCCTGAGTCTATCAGGTACCCCTAATTTTCGGAAACTCTCAAGTAATGCCGCCAAACAAGGGGCTTTAAGCATTAGAATAGGGTTTGAGGGTACATTACCATAGTCCATATTTGTAATAAGGACCCCCAGGCCCAAAGCCCTATTCTAATTCTGAAGGTCTGGGTCCTACGACCCTCGCTACTAGCAGCCGTCACCTACTTTCCCTTTCCGGATAGATTCAGCCAAAGCCACGAAGTGGAAAATTCGGGTGGGGAGCCTGGTCGGAACACCTGGAAATGACATCCTTGGACATTCTTTGGCTCGTGAACTCTGAAACACCACGAAAACCTATCCTAAACCCTAAACCGTAAACTGTAAACTCGGAAACACCTCGACGCCCTATTCAAAGTGTTCCCTGCATTCAGTTCCACGATCCTTTTAAATTTTAAGCTTCTTCCATATCGCAGATACTCTAACGATTAACATGTTATTGCTGGGTTCAAGCTTGAGGGTTTAGGGTTTATCGACAGATTATATTGCTACATAAGCTCCCACGATCCTGTTGTGAAGTTTCCTCCACACGTCCGACTTTGACCTTCTAGACTTAGACCAAAGCCAAGAAGCAACCCCCGCGATACCGAATTTCCAAGCTCTGCCTTAATGGTTTGCAGCGTTCTAAATGACTACAAATTTATCTGTATGTATATCTTTATATGTACACATAAAAAACACATACATACATAAATAAATATCTGTATATACATATACATATATATATATATATATGTGTGTGTGTGTTTGTATATACAGTAATACACACCTACATAATTATATATGTCTATGAGTCCATACCTATGCACCTATATATATATATATATATATATATATGCAAATGTATTATACCGTCGTTTATGCTAGTAAGCACACGCAGGTAAGCAGATGGGCATGTATACATGCACGGTAGGTACCCAAGCACGTATAGGTTGCTGGTCACACACAAGCCAGTTGTCTGTATCACCTTGCATGACGTAAGACAGGAGCCTGATTCAAAAAACCCGGGTCCAACAAAAAAAGGATCCAGGGTTCCAACAGCCCCAGCTCCTAAACCCTAAACTCTCAACCTTAAACCCCCAACCGTAGACCGCCTACACCGCCTCAACCCTGAACCGTATACCCAAAACCCTAAATCCTAGACCCCAAGCCTTTAACCCTGAACTCAAAACCATCAACGTCCCCACCTCTTTGCTGTTTGTTCAGACCTTGGAGCTGGGGGACCACGGCTCCAGCGCCGTGAAGGCGTCTGGGAGGCGAGCTGAGAGACGCTGAAGTTCAGATAGTATAGGAGTCTTAGTAATTGGGGGATATACTATATTATGATGTGTTTTCAATAAGGAACACCACAATTGCTGGAGTTCGGATAGGAGGCCCTAAAATAGCCGAAGGCTCCGTGTACCTATACTATAGAGTATATACATAGACCGTAGAGTACCCATAGCAAAACCACAACCCCGTTGACCACTGCTTGGAGGTTCATGGGTAGTTATAAGTAGGGTTATAAGTAGGGTAACTATACTAGGATCTCCAGTAGTACCCCTATTCCCTTTTTGTAGTCCTAGGTTCCTTATAAAGTTACCCAATACCAAAAAGAGAGGCCTTTTTATTCTTAGGTTACTGGGTATCCTAGTATACCTGTAACCCATATTAGGGTACTCATAACCTCAGTTATAACTACCCATGAACCTCCAAGTGTGGGAATTCAGAACATGCGGCATACGTCCGGTAACATCTTTGGCAGCCTCGGTTTGGGGTTTAGAGTTCAGGGCACGGTGTGATGTTTTAGCTTTTGTTGGGCGGATGGATGGATAGACAGATAGATAGCGAGAAGGAGAGAATGAGAGAGAGAGAGAGAGAGAGACATACATACATGCATACATACATACATACATATATATATATATAGATAGAGCTAAACATAATTCCGAATATCCAATATCAGTAACTACGCACATGTAAATTCATATTCATGTGTAGCACACACTTGTTTGTGCGAAGTGACAACTTCATATCTCACTTAAACACCGAATCGGTCGGGGGATTGACTCACCGATTCATGTCGAATGATTGTATACTCCGTGGCCATTTTGGCTCAAGCTGTTACAGCTTGAGCGAAATTTTGTTTCAGTCCCCTCGGATCACTCCTCGGTCATAGCCGCCCGGGCGGCCAGTACCCCGAGCACTACTACGACCGCTGCTGGCGGCCAGTACCTTGAGCACTACGGCTTCTCTGTCAGTTGTTGACAGTCTGAAGGAATCGCTCGAGGAATTCAGTCGCGAGCAAGTTCTCGAAGATTTTCAAGTCGAGAAACCCGAGGATGTGACGTGGGGAGCTTGGAACAAGCGACAATCCCGACAAATACGAAAGGCACTCGATCACATCGCCCAGTGTCAGACGGCGAACGACATTGTCAATCTTGCGGCGACTTTGCTGAAACCGCCCAACCTCGAGGCCTTCCTGTACCTGCACATCACCAACCGCGACGAGTCCGCGGAGCCGCTGACGGTGCCGTTCGAGATCGTCGAGGCTTCCCTACACCCCGACTCCGATCATGCACCCCTACCAGCTGACACCGATGCTGCTCTTCTTGTGCATGAGACCGATCTGCATAATCAGCATTTGGCAGACATTTTTCGTGATGATTTTGGCATGGAATTACATACTCCCGAACCCGCTGCCTCTAAAGCTCGAAAGCGGAACTTCGAAGGGCATCTCAAGCCCACTACCTCGATTACCATCGATTTGGACTAGCCAATTCGTAGCCATGGCACGTACCCGAGCCGACTCATGGTTCGATTTTCTCTGCGAGGGCACGTTGGTGAAGATGACGGCCCCTGTTCCTGAGTCGATGCTTAACGAGTACCCCGAAGTAGTCAGCGACACGGCCCAAGTACCCATCTCCGAGATACGACGACAGCTTTGTCCC